CGGAACAGAAAAGAGCTGTTCCTWACTCTTTCCAACCCTTCATGTGACATTATGTTGCTTTCAGCTCTATTTGCCAGTACAGAAATGGGTAAAAAGGTTTTTATTCTGCACCTTTTGCATGGATTGCAGAATGACTAGAAACRAACAGACTTAATACTTTAGAGCTTTTAAATGGATACTGAGAAGATCTGTGCTTAATTTTATTATATGGACAGGTTTCATATTCGTATTTCCTTTTAGTAATTGAATTGAACTGTGTGATTTAATTGTATTGCTGCCTATCTCAGCCAGGACTTCCTTGAAAAACAGGTTTTTAATCTCAATGGGATTTTTTCCTGTTAAAATGAAAACTTAAGACAATTAATTAACTGAATTATAGTCCCTTTTGATTTGTTTTKTAAAGCGAGTTGGCTGTGGTGGTGTCTTGATTTGGGTTGGCATTAAAGTGCCTGTGACATATCTTTCAAACAGAAAAAGTTAAAGAAAACAATTTTCTTATAACTTGTGAAACTACATATAATTTTACTCGTTTTGTCAGATAGCTGGCATATTTTCTTTGGAATTTGAAATTTTTGAATTTGAATAATAATCTAAACATCAGATTCTGCTCTGTTAGCTATTGTAGCAATGTGCTGTTCATATTCATACATTCCCTTGACATCACTTCCTGTGACTTCACATGCAAACAGCTCAACTTCTGTTCATCTCAATGACTTGAATAGTTTTATTTTTTGCAACATGTTTTCAATGTTATCTTTCCAAAAATACATTCATATTAATAAAAAAATTGACATTSCAGGCACTTTAAAAGGACYGACTATTTCCTGAAAGATTCATYAAACTCCACCCAGTGGTCCAGAAAAGCATCTTACACAGGGTTGACAAACTGTCAATGTCAAAATAAAAAGGCACATCTTGTTAGTACTCAGAATGTGTGCAGTTTAACTCCAAGAATGAATCGGTTGTAGATCCATTCATTACATTCGCTGAAAGTTTCATTAAAAGTTCATCCAGTAGTGCTAGAAATAAGGTTGATATTTTGATCTATATTTAATTGATGGCAGGAGAAAAATCTAACAGCATGAAACAATGATAAGAGGTAGAACTCTGCTGGTGATAATTTATAGCAGAACAAACATCCCCTGATGGGAAAAAAAGCTATTTGTTTTGCAGGAGCTTTTTTTAAATTTTTTTGTTAACTTACAGAAATCTTGTCGACTCTGCAAATCACTGATTCTGAGCTGATGTAATGAAATCTGTTGCTTTGCGTTCATACCTGTGTTGATGCTCCTATAGGTGGCTGTGAAACTCTTTACAGATTTTCTTGCTGGAGTTTAGCTCACAGACAGTTTATCCTAGTCGGCTGCAGGGAGCTTCACAATAGTCCGGCCACTGGCAGGGTTTATGGGTTTGTGATCAGCTTTCTGGATAGCTGAGGATAATCCCAAAATATTACAGTAGCTAAAGCTGCCTGAGTAAAGCCGTTTATGGATTTGGTACCTCTAGATAGGATTTGCACAATGCAATTGTTTAATATGGCCAAAACACGTTTCCTCAAAAACTTTCATCAGAACTGACACTGAACCCTGGTGGCAAAGAAAGATCGACTCCTTTAGCAAAACTCACGTTCTGTTGTGTATTTGCTGAGAATGGCTTAAAATGAACCATTTTAAAATGACCATTATTTCTGTTTTGGAAAAAAAACATCCCTCCTGTTGCAAAACATGACACCATAATTCACCTCATCATGCTCCGCCTGTCAAACCGAATTCTCCTGCGTCGCTTTGGAAATCAGTGTCAATCAAAGTGACAAGCTTTGTTTACCAGGCGCCACAAACCTCACAGGTGTGAGCGCAGTTCTTTTACAGAACACATTCGYAGCTCGCTCCAAAGACCAACAATCATGTGTTTTTGAGAAAATGGTTGTGAAACACGAAGTCAAAGCAAGGAGGGAAGAAAAGAGGGAAAAAAAAACTATCAGACCAACACCAATTAAGCAGCAGTTTGGGAAGAAAAAAAACCCACATCTGTGCTACATTTTGTTGTTTCTTAATTTCTTATGCAMATCTAAAAGCTATTTTTTGTAAGAAATAAGGCAATAACCAATGTTCTGTATATGAATGGGTGAGTGACTATTTGGGACATATTACAAGACTATTTTTTAAATCATAACATTAAAAGAAACAACTCGTCATGAGAATTCTTATGAAAAAGCAGCTCCACTGCATTAAAATGAATGTTCAGCCTCTTGTGATGTTATTCTTTGGTATCAGTTTTACAAATGAAATCTTTTAACTCATCAGCAAATTATCATCAGTAGCAGGTCTTCATGCTACACATGATAAACTGAAGCTGTATGACATTGCAATTAATGGCTGCATTGGCAAATTTAGTCACATAATGTGGATGGAATAATATTAAAATATGACTTCATTCTCGTAGGCTAATATGACTTTAACCTCGTAATAACATGACATTTTCCTCGTAGTATTACGACTAAGTTTGTAATTTAAAATAAAAACATGCAAAATAAAAAACAAAACACAAAAATGTAGCGTGGCGTTAATACTTTGTCATATCTATACAAATTGACTTGTTTATTCATGAAAGTGCACGACTCATCTGTGTCTGAAAGTGTTTTACATTCACGTCTTTTATGTAAATTTCACTCACATTTAAAATCAAGCTCTTAAAAACAACCAGAAACACTTTCAGTCAGATATAGACACTTTATGAATCAACAGTGATGTGTTTGGAGGTATCCAACACCCACTGAAGCTGCTGTGGCACTTTAGATCAGAGAAACTTAAAAATTTTTTTTAAATAAAACTTGGCGTGATGTCATGTTTTGTTAGAAAAAAAAGCTCTCTAACTTACATTAGGCCCCAGCAGTTCATTAAAGAACTGTGGGGTTAATAATTCAGCAAACTTGTGATATTAACTTTCAACACTTTCTATTTTAAACAAGCAGATTTCACAGCTTTTAGCCCGAGTTCACACATCAGCCTTATTTAAGCTGCCAACTCTGTGCAAAAACCATAAGAAGCTACTTCACAAAATAAAATGAACAGCATATTGTGACTCCACAAACAGCATATTATGCTTCAAATAAATGTGTTWTTAGGCTATCATATACTAAATATTTTTAGGATTTTCATCTGTACATACATTTACGTGAGTTTCCCTGAAAAAAAGAACTTCAAATAAGTGAAATAATAAAAATGTAATGCTTTTTAAAAATGATTTGGATGCTCTAGTCAAGGCCAAGCTGATTTGTATTTTATTTTATTCCAATGCAATGGGCCAAAATGTGTCCTCTTTCTGCAAACTAGAAAAGAGCAGCACTTMTGTCGAGCCAAGTTACATATTTATYTATTGAGAATGTCAACAGYCTGCACACAGCCTGCASTTCTGGGAGCTCAACAAATACTGACTGGATCCAGGATTTACAACCCTGCCAGTCACGTTTTGGCTGAACACTGCCCTCTAGTGTTCACACTGACACGCAAACACCAGGTCTTTGTTTACAGTTTTAAATAAAATGAACTTTGTTTTTTTTTTAAGTTTGTGTTTTTTTAAACCTACATTATCTGCTAAAACTCTTGCTCATCTACCATGAGGTGCCATTTTGATAATATAAAAGCCATGATTAACTTCTGTGCACAAAGCATGGCACAGTTGCACTGAACATTGCCTCGTTTTACTATCAGCTGCTCTCAGACGGGTTCTAATCTGGATCRTATAGTCTACCTAATGAGGCGTGCCACAATTACAGAGCGGCCCATCCCTCCTCCTCTGAAACGAGCACACCAGACAGTCTGTGCCCCGGCTGATGTAACCCGCTGAAGCCGTTCCAACACAAGGTCAGTCCACCCTGATCTCCTCCACGGCCACGAGGCGACGTGGATCTCRCCCGTCATCTTGAAAGCCTTCATGATACTCCAGATGAAAATGAACCATATTGCCGCCGTTCTAATTGGGCTCGTCCTGCTCAGCTGGTAATGCCTTCTCTTGCAATTCAGCACCATCTGGCTAAATCAGTGTAGGCAGGAGCTGAAAGTTGTCACAAAGACCGGTTYTTGGTTAGAACGCAATTATTGCTTTTGGCAGGTGGCATATTCCATTTGTTAGGAGTAATCTCAGTTAATTAATGTCAGGTAATAACTTCATCCCGTCTATTTACAAAGTAATACMGTCAGATACTTAGAAAATGCTGATTGTTAAAAGCTAAACAATCCAGATTTAATCTGTTGCCAAAGGACAGAGCTTTATGTGGTGGGGGCAGTGGACTTTGAGGGCATCTGTGGGGTCACTGTGTACTCTACAAACAACCCTGTTGGGTCAGCAAATCAAACAAACAGAACATGTCACACAGACCTGGCAAACAGCAGTCTCTTTTCGTAGAGATCCTCAATAAAAATTTGCATGCAAGGTTCAGTTCGTGACTCCAAAACTGCCCCCCCTCCCCCGCAACCCTCGTGGGATATTTAGATCCTAACAGGACCTGCTAACAAAGATTTGCCAAACTGGCAGGTGAAGCAGGAACCTCTGCCAGCCATTTGGACTCTGTTTTGTTCTGTTTACGCTCCATCTTTTGCATATTATGAGGGAAATTATGATTTGCAAATAAAGTATGATGTGAATCGCTTTCAGATTTTATGCAGAACCAAACGCGGCTATAAAAGAAGCATCAAAAAATATCGAACAGTTAGTTTATTGYACACAAACCCGTGCCTGGGATGTACTATTTCTAGGTTTTTCATCAGCTGTGTGGATTATTGTCCAGCTTTGAGTTACACATTAATGAGCTCAGACTGACAGTCTAAATGCAGATTGAAGCAAACGACACACATGAGYTGAATTGAGAAAGCTTTATGTAGGGCAAACATTGAAAATGAACTTGATTTATCTTTATACAGCAGCGTTCACACAAGCATGATCTCAAATCAGTCAGTCTTGGACCTCAGCAGATCTGGCATGTTTTTAGGACATATTCTGATCGWGGTGTTAACTCAGCGATGATGCAGCAGGTGTTTGGCGTCCATCTGCAACACAGTGTATTTTAGAAACAGGTATTTTTCTTTTAAAAGGGGGGTATGCAGAATCTTTTTTTTTCTTTTTAACTTTATATCATATGTTTAAATGTCATTCCTTCATCACACATACTCCAGTGTTGTTTTGACTCCTTCATGCATGAAATCCTCAACTCTCCTCTCGTAGCCATTTGGAGGTGCAAAAACACTTGCTCGTACAAAGGGCCACCTATTTAATCAAAGCTCCTCCCTGGAGCTCTGTCTGCAGCCAAGYTCCCACCCCTCCACCCACAAAGCTACACCATTACCGTCAGCAACAATTGGCAATCACCTGGTGGAACTGCAAGTTTGTTGCATTTGTAATACTAACCACTCCTCAGTCCAGTCCTTTTCAGTAYAAACTTAAGGAAATGTATTCATTATTGGATGCCAAGGAGACCATCTTTTTTTACGATTCTTGAGGGTGACACGGTTTACCAAAAATGTTCAGACTTTTCTCTTACAAAAAGTTGTAAAGGTTGGCATTGTTCAAGATGTGCTTAAAGAGCCTGTGGCATCAAATTTTTGTAATAAACATGAATGCATTTTTGGAAAGATAACATTGATAACATATTGCAAAACAAATTTCATGTCACCGAGATGAACAGTTGTTGAGATATTTGCATGTGAAGAAACAGGAAGTGATGTCAAAGGGGAATGTCTGGATGTGAACAGAGCATTGTTACAACACAGACTGTAGAGAAGAATCTGTTTCTTTAGATTATTTTGAGTCACTATCAAACAGATGAAGAGTTAAAGTTTAAATATTGTTTTAATAAACAAAAACTAGAGAGTTTATTTCATTCATGAGTTCCTCCTTTGATGTCACTTCCTGTTTCACTTTGGCTGAGCCAAATTCAAAAGAAAATAGGCCAGTTATGTGACAAAATGGGTAAAATAATCTGTACTATGCCAATTTTCTTAAGTATAACAATGTTTTCTTTGACTTTTTGTATATGGAGGATAGGCATGTCATATGTACTTTAAGTGGGAGTGTCCAAAATGGTGGGAGGTTCTCAAAGTGACAGAGGACCAATTTTAAGGTGTTGAGACAGGCTATGATGCAAAGTCAAATTTATTTTTGATATATACAGCATTTTATAACAGCTAAAGGGAACAGTTACTTGAATGGGGGTATAGAATTAAACTATGTGCCTGGAAAAAGCACAACACCCCACCCTGTAATGGTTTTTACACTCATCTAACTTTTATAAAAAGCAAATGCAAAACCAAAACTGTAATCATAAAATAGTCTTTAAATTTAAGCATATTGCCCACCACCTTTAATTTTTTTTAATTCAAACATTTTTCTCTACTCAAACCAGGGGGGAAAACAGTGTTCAGATCTGTTTGGTTGTTTTACAACCAGCTTCGCATCACAGAACCATGAAAAGCACTTACATGGTTAACTGCATCTAAATCCAATCCATTGTTGAGTTTGTGATGTTTCTCAGATGTTCCCAACCCCCGTACGGCATTGGAAACAGCATGTTGTTGTAGAACACTGTATACTTTAACACAAGAGGGAGAGAGACATCTACGTAAACTGATGGATTTTATAAGAGCATTCAAAGATTCAACAGCAGCAAGTGACGTTTGCGATACCTCCGGGAATTTAACCTTCACATCGATGGTGTCGTCTGAGGCAGGGGCAACTGATGCGAACACCTCCTGCTTCTCATTACTSTCATGGTCCAGGTAGAAGCCATAGAGGAAAGCCATGCCGGGGATGTAACACTCAATTCTGGGAAAAAAAAAAAGAAAAAAAAAAGAAAAAGTCAAATCTCCTTTAACATGTTGACCTAATCACAGCTGTAACATGAAGATGAAGTTTCTAGATTTTGAGTTTGTTCCATTTTTAACAAACCAAACACGAGTTTAAAAAGAACACCTTTTGCCCATCTCCGTCATGTATTCTGGGATCGTGGTCCAGTGTGCTTTGGCTCTGAGTGCYGGCTTGGAATCATCGAGTACAACAGCAGCTTTTACTGAAACGTCATACAACTGACACTCTGCTCCCCATCCAATGTGTGCCTGGAACAAAAAAATAAAAAATAAATAAAAGCAAGACCATTACAATAAATAAACAGTAGTAAAACTAATCCGTATTTGTTTCCTACACMAACCATTGCCTCAGCATCAGCTTCCAAGCTGGTGTCAACACACATCTTCCAGTTGGTGTCAGCGCCAACTTGGGACACAATTAGTTGGGCATCTTGAGCGTTTGCCTCGGGTGTATAGAACATGGCTGCATCGTAACCCTCTGGCTCCTGGTTCCCACTCATGGCAAAAGCTTTGAAACGGAAGACAGCTTCAGGTGTCGAGGCCTAAGGAGTGAGACAGAAACCGTTGCCATCACATTACCAGAGATGGTGCAAACAAGTGCTCCGAGTCCAAGTAAAAACTTTGTGTAGCTTCAACRTACTTCCATCAGGAGGTCACGGGGTCTGGAATTAGAGTCGCTACGACTTGAGGCTGAATCTGACAGCTTGATTCTCTTTGTTGCTTCCTGTAAGCAGAGTTCCATGATTTGAATATTTGACTCAAACCCCAGAACAGGTGCTGTGATAATAATGTTGCATGAGCCACCAAATACCTTGGAAAGCCTCTTCAGAGTCTGAAGCAGCTGGCGAGCGCTCACTGGATGCCTGCTGGGACCGGCGTCAAGCTCAAAGTGGATCTTGTCAACAGGTTTGACGGTCTGGGCTGAGAAAAGTGCACAGGATTCATCAGTGAAGACATTTAAGGAGGATGTGTGGAAAGGTCATTGAGTTGCATGAACACCTGAACAACATTATTGTTTTATACCTTGGATCACATGGTTGCTTTGCCGAATCTTTTAGAAAAGTATTAAATGAAATCAAAAGAAACTAATATAGGCCACGAAAATCTTTGACCAATTACCATTTGCTGGTCTTGGTTTTTATAAAAATTAATAAAAACATTTGGAAAACATGTTTTTTATTACAACTTTAATAGTTTAATTGTTGAGTTTGTTTGAGGCAGAACTGTTTGCAGTATAAATCCAGAGCGTAAAAGGGAATGTCATGTGCTCAATGTCAAACATTTTAGTTGCCTCAATCAATGCCCATCTAAAAAGAAATACTTTTAGGTGTTCATAGTAATTTGAACATTTTCACAAATTACAGACACATTTTATGACATTACATCCTGCAAAGTCAATAGCTTGGATAGAACAAACACAAAAACTAGTTGTAGATAGCTATTAATCAGGTAACCTAGCCTTTTTTTTTCCTTTTTGGAGTCGATTTGAATCTAAAACACTGTTTTAAACTTAACCAGTCTATTAAAAGACATATGATATCAAACACAAACTTGGTCAACAGAAAATCCTACAAAAAATGTGTTCTTGACACAAAGAAATTCATAGATATACTGTAAATGTCAAATATAGGAGACAAAAGCATGTATAATAATTAGTTGTCAAGTCAGCACTTTAAAATAACCTTTATTTTGAGATTTTTTGGAACAGGCACAAACATGTTTACTTTTAGTTGTTCACCTTCGTATTTTTTGATCAAGCTAAAAAACAAAAACTTTTATTCATATAAAATGGCTTGATGTGTTGAAGTTGTTTTTGTAAAATCATTGAATCTTAAGGCTATAAAACTGGAGATCTGATTGTGTAAAACACTAATTATGATTTCAGTTTTATAAACCCTACCAAGTTAAAAGCTGCTTAACAAAACAAATGATTGTAGTTTTTTTTTCTCCATGAAGCAGCCAGATGGGAATGAAGTCGGCAAGTTTTCATTTCCTTGTGTGCTTCATCTGAATTTAACTGATTGACTCTAAATGATAAATCCTAACTGCCTAATCTGTGTTTTTGTAACGGCACACACACCTGGAACGAGTTTGAGAGACATGTTGGCGTATCCCAGGAAGTAGTAGAGGGGGTATTCCTCATCGTAGTACTCTCTCCTTAGGTCATACTCGGCACAGAGACCCACTCCGTAGACTGTACTCTCAGCACACACGTTGTAATACGGATACCAGCGGTTGGTTTTCAGGATCTATAAGAGCAGATAAAAAAAGGTAATAAATCAGAATGACAAATCAGATTCTGAAACATCTGCAGACCAGCGGTGCATGTGACTCAGTCTTACTTCAGTGGGATCTCTCAGGACTTCATCAGCAGCAAGCATTAATGAGGACTTTTTGGGTGAAACTGGCTCCTCGATGTTTCTGAATACTGCATACACGTCATATCTGTTCAGTGAGGAAGAAGATGCTCAGTACCGGTTGCGCTGAAGAGAGCATGATTTGCTGTTCACCTAAAAGCAAGTGGAAATGGTCATTTTTAGTGTTTAGAAATACCTCAGTGCAGTTAGTTCAATCTCTTCTTTGGAAAGAGGGAAATCCAGCTCAAATTTCTTTTCTGCAACATTGATCTTGGCTGAGAACTTCCATGGAACAGCAGTGGACATTTTGTTCTTTGACTCAAAGCCACACTGGAACAGATCCGTGTTGATCCCGTAGAAAACCCAGAAATCTTTGGTGTATCTAAAGAGAAAATAAATAATAAACGTGTCAAAACATTAGTGTAAATCTGACACTTAAGTCTCAATGGAAACCATTTGTTGGACAAAAACAAAATAGTTGTTTTTTTAACCTACATATATAAAACAACCATATTTTTTCCCCAATAGAAATGAAAACCAACACAATTGAGAGAAAACAAAAAAACATCACTTCAGTAAATCTGTGTTAACCTGGTACATTAGTTGATWTTATGAAAATCTGTAATCATCTTGTTTCATAGCACACCAATTTCTGAAAGTTTRAGTTTGTTCATTTGTTCAAGATCTGATATGAACAAAAAAAATTCAGAAAACAAAAACTGGACATGCATAGACAAAACTGAAGGATCTGAGTTTCTGGAATTAACCAACAGCTAGTGTGCAAAAACTAAATGTGGAAATTCATGTTCATTCACCCGCTCAAAAACATAAATCAAGAGCAAGCTGTCACAATATAGGCAACATTTTTAGGCAACAAAATCCTTGAGATTTGAGAATTGAAGTTAAACTAAACGTATCAAAAAAGGCAGTGTATTCTGTTTTAATTTAAATATATATTTACCCAGCAAAACCATCAGTTTCCAGTAAAACCTCTGAATTCAGGAGCTGTCCAATGTTCTCAGTTACCGGTGGATTAATGGTAGCTTTAGCTGGAAAAAATTAAAAGTTTTTAGTTACATAAAAAGCCACACTGTTAATAGAATGTTGTAGTGTTTGATTCCTCACCATTAACAGTGACGGCAGTAAGAGCATTATAATATTTGCTAATTTCAACAGGAAGACCCAGAGTCGTTGCTTGGAAATAACGAGCCTCTAATGCCAAGAATGGCCGGGTGTAGCGCCACGAAATTCCTTTCCGCAAACTCTCGATCGCAGCAAACAGAAGACTTGGTTTCCCTGCAGAAGGGCTCAGCGCCTGGATACAACATTTCACGTTTTGTAGACTTTTCATCCCTTTAATACATCATTAATTCAGCTTTGCCGTTTCTAACCGTGATGAGGTTGCGGATGGTCTCCTTGTTCAGATCGGCGAAAAACCACTCCTGTCCCGCCAGACGGGAATACGCTGAAAGGACCGGCTTATCGTCCTGCAGTTTCTCCCAGTTTCGAAGCTGGAAATGATGCAGAATATAGTGGTAAACTGGCAAACAACATTTTTGATTAAATGGGACATTTATCACTAACCACATTGAAAACAGCTTGAAGGTCACTGAAGTTATAATCTCCTTTAAACCCAGGGATGCTTGTTCCAAACAGCTCTTTAATTCCATCTGCACGGATACCCACCTGTATGGAATGGAAGAAAAGAATTATTGGATTGTGATTTTTATATATTTATATAAAAAAATGTTTTTGTATTTACACAGTGATATTTTGCAACTGTACCTCCAACAGCTGGAGTATTCTACCAATCATATGAATTTTTCCTTTTGCCTTAATTTCAGTGGGAAATATATTGCGTTCACTTTTCAGCATGAAGTACTCAGATGAAAGGCCAGTTAGGAAATCATCTTAAAAAAGATAAAAATACAAACATGGTCATTTAGTGTCTTTTAAGAAACCAGTCAGTCACTGCTGTATTCTAACATACCGTGGAAGCAGTCTAGAAGCTTTGCTTTGCTGTAGTAATAGCCGAGACGACCAAATTTAGGGGAGAGGATTTTCACAGCTACACTCGAGGCAATAGAGCTATTAGACAAAATAAGAAGATAATTTCAAGAAATACGTACATTAGGTTTGGGTTAATAATCAAATCCAGCATTTAATTGTTGTTCCACTTACAGGAAGTGATTGTCTGGAGTCCAGGATGTGGCCAAACTTTGCAGGTAAGAAAATGCAAAGCTAGCAACATGAAGGTCCTTCTCTTCCATTAGATGTGTCGTCACCAATGAAACAACAGCCATTGGTGGCTTTGTGTCAAAGAGGACCATGAGGGCCAACATGCGGATCTCAGCTGGAAGGTCCTTCTGCAGGAACAAGCTGATGGTGACGTCTTGGACCTGAGAGCAGAAGTAAAAAAGAGAAGCAGCTTGTGAAGTTCTGGACTCGAACTCACATTTATCACACTTTTCATTCAYTCAATTGATGTCAAAAGGAGAAATGAGAGCTTTAAAATCCAAGTTTTATTTGGATGTGTTGTGATGTGCTCTTACTCTGTGAGGGTCTCTGACAGCGATGAGTCTCAAAGCCTGCACGGCCGCACTCTGGACATGAAGAGGCAGGTCCACAGGGGTAGCAGCCACTCCCGGGAGGAAACGCACGATGGTTTTAATGCTGCCAGGGTGACCTGCGTTCCCTAGAGCTTTCAGAGCGAGGACCATTTCGTCTTTGTCGTTGCTCCTCAGAGCATCTGTGGCCATGTCCAGCAGTGGCTGGAACAAAAATTAATCGACTATTTAGTAAAGTAAAGTTTTATTTATATAGCACCTTTCATAGAAATAGATTCACAAGGTGCTGTACAATCAGAGGCAAATCAAAAWATATACAATCAGAACAGGATATACAAAAATTTGGAACAAAAAAAGTATAAAAGCTGTACAACCATCAAAGTATCAAGACTGTGCAATCCGAAAAATAAAACAAGTAAATAATATCTAGACGATATTATGGGGAGGGCAGAGTAAAACAACAACATATTAAGATGAAGGATTTTTAAATCAGATATTAATTTGGAGGCAGGTCTCCAAATGGGTAGATTGTGGAGTACAGGTACATTTTAGAAAAATACATTTTTGAAATGATTTTGTATGAAAATACTGGCTGTTTGACATTTTAATATGATGAATTGTACGGTCAGTAGGTAGGGTTTGGTGAAACAGACACTAAAAGGACACTATTTAAAGTCAAACAGTCATTGCACATCAACAGATAAATGTTTCTGATAATTATTTAAACAAAACTTTTTTGTAGATTACCAACCTGCACAGCAGTCACTGGACATGGTGTATAACGCTCACAGTGCCTATACACCAGAGATCCGTAGGACAGAACCACAGTGTGCCACAGATAGATACAAGATTTACTGTAAGGCATCCTCAGGAAAATCTGCAAAAGATGGACAAAAAAAAACCATGAGAAACTTCTTGTAGGAAGAGTTTTTACTATCCATTTTTATAACAAACGTACTTTAGCCATCTCAACCAGCTCGGGTGTCGTCTGCAGATGCTGCAGGGCCAACAAAAATGTTTGCCAAGCTTCAACTGAAGTCAAATCTCGTGCTTGAAACCGTTTTTCCAAGAACTTCAGGATTTCAGCATCAGCACTTTCMACAGTCAGGTCCAAGAACCAACGCCTAATACGCGAGAAAAAATAAAAATGACAAAGTTACCATTTATAAATGCTCCTAAGTGTCTCCTTTTATTTTGGGCCCAGAATGCATGTTTATGTTCATCTYCCTGGATTCGCTACAAAGCCTCACCTGTATTTAGGGTCATTTGCAAACTGCTTCCACATACTTTCCAGTCCTTCAGAAGGGATCACTCTCATCAGCTGGTACACCTTTATAATGTCATCAGTGGTTGCATTGTCAATGCTGTCCAGATTGGCCTCGGCCAGACTCTTGATCAGTTCAACAGCCTGTGGACGAACAGAAGCAGGTCATTTCACATGTAGGCATTAATTAAAAGGCGATAGAACGGCTCCATCAATAATTACCTTTGGTAAGGGATTGTCCAAATTCTGCATCATAATTGGGATATTTACGTCCACATCTACAAACTTGTAAACAATATCACCCTTGCTTTCCACGGGCCCAGCTGTGATTGTTGATTCTGTGTCGCTCACTCGGAGAAGCGTCAGTTCCTTTCTGCAGGAGAGTGTTTTTTTTATTGCACCTGGAGTTTGATGAAGACAAACAACMCGGTGGTGTTTTCCTGCACTTACATGGCTTGCATCTTGAACGTGCCACCTTTCACATTGAAGGGACTGAAGTGCTGTTGCTCCAGACTGTGAGCTTCAGTAATGAGACCCCCCTCTGCCGATGGTTTGACTGAGTAAACACACCTGACTGTGGAATAGACAGATTTTCCTCTCTAGATTGGAGGATGCAGAAATAGAATGTAGAAATATAAATGAAAAAAGGATGTAGAAAAATCAAATGATGCAAAATAGAAGGATCCAGAGGATGCAGAGATCGAAAGAAAAAGATGCAGACATCGAAAAATGTAGCAATAGGAGAGCTGATGTTGACCTGTATGATTTGAAGTCAGAAATAACTTGAAATTAAATAAAAAAAACCTCTTCAGATAGCTTGTCTTCAACRGTGTTTGCCATTCCTCGGAACATTTCTGCTTTCTCCCCGCAGTTTGTGACGTCCACAACCTGAGTGATGGTCCAGTCGTTTGTTTTCGAGTTCTCTTCAATGGCGTAGTTGCTTTGACATTTGCCATGAATTCCAACCTGCAAACAAAATGAACGCATGAACCGTGACGCCTACAACAACGGCTGATTTCACAGTGAGACGATCGTACGTGGAACAGAGCGGTTTACCTCTTCCAGGTCGTAGATGTTCTGGGTGGTTTTCACAGTGACCTGGAAAAACTCAAGAATTCCCCTCACAATGTTGACGACCGTGGTGGAGACCTCGGCGGAGGCGAGGATGTCACTAACGTGCCCGTTGGTGTACTCGAACATGAAAGGTTTGACGAGCTGAGCAGCGATGCGTTTTGCCAGTTTCGGAGAAGCTTCGTACTCGTTTTTCCCCGGGAAGCCGTTAAACTCGGCAAAATCCAGATCGGTGATCTTTGAAAAGCAAACCCAAAGAAGCTCTTTGTTTCATACCAGCTTTTACCGCTCGTGTTTTTTTTTTTCAGGTTAGTGTTCTTGTTTCCCTCCTTGCTTCATTAGTCTCACCTCTAACATGAACATTCGTTCGGACTTGCCGGTGATCTTGGCCTTGCATGATATTTTCACACCGGACTCTGCGAAGTTTGCCTTGTCGAGGGTGAAGTTGGCCACTCCTTTATATTTGTATTCGTAGGTTTTCTTTGAATTCAGGATGTCATCTGAGAGATGTTCTCAGGATTAATCACAACATTCTGCTCTGTGGGAAAAAAACAAGTTTTTTCTTCCTCCATCGGGAGAAAAATAGACTTACCGTATCGTAGATTTTGACACGCTGAAAAAGAGAGCATTAGAACAATTGTGAGAAGATAAATGTCAGATAATACATTTTGCAGAGTTAGCTTAAGATGAAACAAATTGTACTTTAAGTGTGTTGCAAATGCTGAAAAACACCTGAAGTGGGTAAAAACAAATATGGCTGACATGAATTAGCAAATATCTACARTTAATGACTCATTAAAACAAATGCAGTTTCCCTATAAATAAAAAAATTCTGATTCATTAGCAGTTTTTCTTAACACCTAAATGATTTAACACTTTTTTCCATTTGTAATCCAAGTTAAAACAGGTACTTTTATCATTAATATGCATCATAAAGAACAAAAGTATTTTAGACCAAACCAGATAAAACTAAAACTTACCGGCCAGGGCCACAAGGCAGCAGAGGAGGAGACCCTGCATGGTGAAGCAGAAGTGGAGGCTGTTCGACATTTGTCATTTTATAAGTGCAGGGTTTCACATAGCCTTGAAAGCAGATCAGACGTTCGTTATAGACGAATGACTTCGTTCAAGCAAACATTTGGTCTGTGAGGATGAGTCGYGTCGACCCACGACTTTGTCATGGTGACCTGAACAACAGGTGAAAGATAAGCCCTGAAGCGTTCGCTGCAGTCCCAGCTTGTGTGAAAACGGGATCATTTTAGACCAGTGGTTCCCAAGATTTTCGGCTTCTGACCCACAAAATATTCATTGCAAAAACTTGTGACCCAAATATTACTGGTCTGAGTACATAAACTTTGTTAATAACCCTAAAAACAAAAGGCTACACAAATATAAATACTTATTTATGCTTATTTTGTGTTTTTGTAATAATTATAGGGAAAATATTACATCACCAATTATTTTATTTACCTTTAAATTGATTT